GAAAACAGAGCGCCTGGTCATCAGCGGCCACCCCCGGTCCCCATATGACGCGCGCAGACAGTACGAAGTGCCACATCTGAGACATATAGGTGGTATTCATCATGAAGACGGTCGTCAGACAGCGGACACCGCCCGCCGAGTCCACGCCACCAAGGGACTTATTCGGACGATCGCCAGAGGGTGGTCACAGGGCACGGCCCATGGCCGTGGCTGGACGAGCGGGGTTAATATCACCACGCGGCTGGCGGTGGTGCAGCAGTGTGCCATATCATCCCTGCTCTCGGGGTGTCGGTCCCGATCCTGGAGCAAAGCTGACATCATTCGGCTCCAACGAGTCGCCAATTATGGGGTCCGGAGAGCTTTCGGGATGGATGTGTGGGCCATGGAAGAGCACTCGATCACTGACGCTGCACTGTACCGGGCCGCCCGTTGGAGGACGATTGAAGATCAGATTACTCGTCTGGCCATGCAGTGGCTCGGGCACGTAGCCCGTATGCCCGTGCACCGTCTTCCCAAACAAGTCTTATTCGGCTGGATCGCCGGCAGAGGGTGTGATGAACACAACCGTTGTTCGTGGCAGTACCTCTGGCTGAACCGCGGGGTACAGCGCATGCGGATTCACGAACACGATTGGTTTCGAAGGGCCACCAACCGGCAGGCTTGGAGGCGCGCAGTAGACAAGGCTTTCCCTGCCCTCGAGATCACGCCGGAATACAGGGCCCTCGTGAACCGATGGCGCCCTGGAGCCCCGTTGCCCGGCAACGGTCAGGAGGGGGCCTCGGGACCCATTTTGGGCGTTCCACCGGTCCCTCCTCCTCCTCCCCCTCCCCCTCCCCCTGTTCCTCCCCCTCCCCCTCTTCAGGAAGGGGGGGATGGCGCTGCTGCAGCAGGAGGGGCCAATGGAAGGTACGCGTGCCCTGTCCCGGGGTGCGGACAGAGCTTCCGCGCGGGCAACCAGCTTCGCTTTCATTATGATGAGCACCACGCCATCCGGGACCCGAGCTTGGTGACCAGTTGGGCGCATTTCTGCCCCGACTGTAAGCAATACCTGGGTACTCGGCTTCGGTACCACAAGCCCCATTGTGCGGCGCGTCTGGAATTCCAGCGGGCCCTGCAGACCACGGAGGGGAGGTGGATGGAGGCGCAGTACGGCCCGCACCGGGCGCCGCCGGATGGCTGGTGGATAGCGACTGATGGCTCCGGGGCTGAGGGAGAAGCTGGTTGGGGCGCAGTCATTTTTAGATATGACGGCCCGAACAGCATGAGCAGGGTACCTGATGTGGTGCTTCACGCACCGGTCGTCACGCAGGCGTGGGACCACCGCTGGATAGGCGCACGCTCGCGTACCAACAACACGGCCGAGTTATCAGCAATAGGTGAGACCATGCACTGGCTTCTAGAAGAAGCGCCAGACGGAGGCGACACCCCTGTGCATATTCGGTACGATTCACAGTACGCCGCGAACATCGCGCGTGGTACTTGGGAGGCCCAGTCCAACGGGGAGCTGGCCGAAGCGGCGCAGGAACTCACACGGCAGGTATCGGAGAGGAGGCACACTACGTGGGAGCATGTTTACGGACACACGGGCGAGCACGACAATGAGCTCGCCGACAGGGCCGCGAACCTTGGGCGTGAAGGTCTTGTGTCGAATATGTCTCGGCGCCTTACTGCTCCGCCCCCTCCTGTCCGCGATTTGGAGTGGAACGAGGTAGATATCTGCCGTAAGTGTGGTGTTCGTGTACTCATAAAGGACTTCCAAGGCCATGTGCGTCGGTGCACAGCCACAGGTGGAGTTATTCCCGACGGGTATGACAAGTGTCGTAAGTGTGGAGTCCTCATCAAGAAGTACGATAGCAGCAGCGCCCGCGCCGGCCATGAGCGCCGGTGCCGGGGGAGCGAACTCGCCAACCGCACCTGTCGGAAGTGTGGCCACGTGTTCCCGCCAGCGCCGACTGGCACTCTGAGTAAGCAATGCTCCACGCATGAGGCGAAATGCAAAGGCGCCCCCCCCTCGGGAGCGGCGGCGCAGCCGGCGGGAGACGTGGCGGCGCCGGCAGCGGTTGGTCCGCCCCCGGCGGCGGCCAAGGCCCAGGCCAAGGCCAAGCCGAAGGCCCAGGGTCGCGGCGCCGGGGCCAAGGCGAAAGCCCGGGCAAAAGGGCGTGGCCGTGGCCGGGGGCGGTAAGGGGGGATCGGTCCCGGGCCGTCCCGGCCTCTTCATACTGGGCTGCACCGCAGGTAAAATTGTCGCGCTGCCGGGCCGAGGGCCCAAGCTCCGCAGATGGCCTCTACGCAGGACCATCCTGGGGGGGAGCAACCCGTGTTGCGCCCGGCACCGGATCCCTCCGGCTGCCTGCTCCTCCCAAGCCCCCACGCGGCGGGGGAAACCCGCGGTGCACCCGGGAAGAGGGGGTCGGGGAGCGGCCGGGTCCGGTCGCAGGAACACGCACGATTCCCCCCTCACGGGCGGACTCCCTTCCTCCGGCGGCCGGCGGCGGACGGGCGGGCGGCGCGGGCGGACGGAGTCCCCTCGACGGCACCACCCATTCCCGGGGCCCTCTTCCTCCCCTCCTCTCCCTCCTCCCTGTCCTCCCCCTTCCTTCCCCCTTCCCCTCCTCCTCCCCCTCCTCCTCCCCTCCCCTGCCCCCCCTTCCTGGCTCCCCCCGGTGGGTTCTGTCGTCCGCGGTGTTGCTGTGCGGGCTGGCGTGTGTCCGAGGTTCGCTCTCGCCCCGCCGATCAATTTGCTGTAGAGTGTGTCTTCGGAGCAGGGCACGCAGCTGGGAAGGGGCGGGGACTGCAGCCTCGCCGCGCGCCGTGTTTGGCTTGTATCAGCACGCGGCCGCCCCCCGCCGCGCCCCCCGCCTACGGCCGCGCCGCAGCTGCACGGTGACCACCCGCTCGCTCGCTGACTGCGGCTGCAATGTCGGAGAGGCGCCGCGCCCAGGTTGACCAGGCGATCGCCTCGCTCAACGACCGAGTCGCTGCGGTTGAGTCGACCCAGGCGTCAATGGGGCGCCGCCTGGACGCCGCCCTGAAGTCGACGAGTGTTGTGTGTGAAGGGTTCGAACGACGCGGAACCGAGTGGGCGGCGAAGGCCCCCGGAGGCCAGTGGAGGGAGCTCAAGGCGGCCTGGGGCCAGGCGGTTGCCGGCGACCTGCGTGCCCAGTTGGGCATTGGAGCGGACGACGCGGCCGTGCCCGAACCCGCCCTCAACGCCCCTGTTGCCCACGCGGTGGCAGTGGTGGGGGCTGCCCTGTCGATGCCGGGCGTAATAAGCGGACTGTTCGCCCAGACGCGGTGGTCTGAGGCGGATGGCGCCCACGTCCCGGTCCCGAACACGTACAAGATGGTGCTGGAGCCGTGCCTGGAGAGCCTGCAGGTCCAGTCTGCACTGAGGGTGTTGGACCACCCGCTCCGGCGGAAGGCCGGCCTGGCAGTCGCAGGCGTGGCGCCTGCGCCGCTGGCGGCCGGGCAGCCTCCGCCGCGCCGTGTACTCATGTACACGGAGCGCACGAGGGCCGAGCGCGCCAAGGGTAAGGGCAAGGGCAAGGGCGGCAAGGGGGGCGGGGGCCTCGCCCTTGGCAGGAGCCGCGGCGACGGCAAGGGAAAAAGCAAAGGCAAGGGTAAGGGCAAGGACAAGAAGGGCAAGGCCGCCCTGCGCAGGCCGGCGGCGGCCGAGGGGGCAGCGGAGGCGGCGGCGGCGCCGCCGTGGAGGGCGGCCGACGGCGCGGCAGCCCCCGCGGCGGGGGCCGGCGCTGCACACGGCGCAGGAGCAGGCTCAGGGGCAGGCGCGGCGGCCGGCGCAGACGGCGCGCCGGCGCCCGACCGCATGTAAGCCGACGGAGCGAGCGGGTGGTACCAGTGACACCGATGGCACTGGGGGCAGCCCACGCTAGGGCGCTGTTATTAATGCTAATTGTTTTGGGTTGTCCAATAACTACACGTCGCACGGGCAGGGGGGCCAGCAGCGAAAGTATCTTCCTCCTCCCCTTGGGCGTCGTCGTCGTCTTCGTTGTCGCCGGGGTTGCCGCGGTCATCCCGGCGTCTTCGTTCCGTGCGCCGGCGCCGCCGTCGGCCGAGGGTGTTGGGAGAAGATGCTGGCGTGGCTCGGCCCCCCTGATTCGGTCCCCCGGTCGGTCCCTCACTCCCTCCCTCCCGCGGCCTTCCTCTCGCTCCTCCTCATCCCCAAGGTTTGATTCAACAGGTTCCTGCATGTACACCTGCAGACGGCCCGGGGGCCGCAGCACGGCCGTGAACCCGGAGGACGAGGACGAGGACGAGGAGGAGCAGCAGGAGGAGGGGGAGATGGGGAGGGGGAGAGGGGGAGGGGGAGGAGGACGACGATGAGGATAAAAGGACGAGGAGGAGGAGGAGGTGGCGAACGCTACAGCGCCACGCCCCCCCGAGAAGATCCTCAGCCGACAAAGTATTCGAGCCGCTTGCGACGGAGTCGAAAGGATCGGCAGATCGCCGTTTGTCCTTACTAGGAGGGGAGAGCTGCGCGGTCAATCAGCAGTGGGGATGCGGTGCCTCATCGAGGCCACCCGTGCATCCTTGCCTTTTCGGCCCATCCAGTGCCGTCGAAGCCACTGCGATCGTCTCCACGGGCGTCCAAAGGTCTCGCGCACTTACCCTGCGACCGCACAACGGTATATACTGAATACGACTGCGCATTCGGCAAGCCGCAAGTCACCCTGGAGGAGGGGGGAGGAGGCAGAGAAAAGTGTGTGCAGACTCCCTTCGACATCTCTTTTAGTCCGAATCGCACTGCCACTAAAAAAGCGTGGCACTCTTCTGAAATCTCGATTTGATTGCCCCAGTCCACAGCGTAAACAGGTCACGGCGTGGACAGGGAAGCGGAGGTGCGCACGACCAGCGCGTGCCTGTGGCTGGCGCGAGCGAGCCTCCTCGAAACCTCCCCGCGGCTTCTGCACAGGGGACACGCACAAATCATCCTGGACCTCAACGCTCCCTTTTTTCTGGACCTCCACGCTCCCTCCCCTCCCTCCTCCTCATCCTCCCCCTACTGGCTACCGGGCGCGCCATAGAGTGCGTCGACCATCTCCTGGGTCAGGCCGGTCTGGGGGACGAGTTCGGTCTTTGCCGCCTTCTGTTCGTTCGTGAGGTCGATGCTCGAGCCAGGGTCGTTGATCGCCGCAGTCACCTTGACGTAGACCTGTTGTGGCTGCGTGCTGCCAAAGCTGCCCCAGTTGAACATCTCGTCGCTAAAGCTGTCCTGGCTCCTGCCCGCCACGTCGAAGGCACGGCAGCAGAGCACGTGGGTGCCTTCCGTGGCGTCCCAGTCGAAGTGCCACGGCGCCCAGCCGAAGGGGCCGTTCTTCCTCCCCAGCTCCGCCATGAGCCAGGTGCGCCCGTTGTCGCTGGAGAACTCGACACGCTCCAGGTCCACCGCTCCGGCCCATGCCCGGCCCTCCACTCGGGTGGCGCCCGGGGGTACGAGACGCGTGCGCGAGACGAACTCGGGGTACCCCGGCGGGGCCATCAGGGCCCGCACGGGAAGCTGCCGGATGGGGACGGCCTCTCGGGGGCTTCCAAGGGCGTCCCTGGCCCAAGGTGTCTCCAGGGTTCCCAGGGAGGCTCCAAGGGCCTCCAGGGAACCCCATCACGAGGCTCAGAGGGCCCCGGGGGGCGCGAAGAGCTGGGGACACCCTGGGCCAGGACGCCTTTTCGTAGCACCCGAGCCTTGGGATCATGGCTGGTGCGCTTGAAGGAGTACGAGTCCATCTGGCAGCCCCACCAGCCTCCAGCCGTGACCTCTATGGAGGCGTTCTTTTTATGTTTGTTTGTGTGTGTGTTTGTTTGTTTGTTTGTTTGTTTGTTTGTTTGTTTGTTTGTTTGTTTGTTTGTTTGTTTGTTTGTTTGTTTGTTTGTTTGTTTTCACGTGACCTCTATGGAGGTGAGCCACTTCACGGACGCCATGCCATACCAGCCCGGCACGATGAGCCTCATGGGCGCGCCGTGGGCGGGGACCAGGTCCGCCCCGTTCATCTGGTAGGCGAGCAGCACGTGGCCGCGCATGGCGTCCTGGAGGGAGAGCGACCTTTGGAAGTACTGCACCTCGCCCTTCTCGACGCCCTTGTCGGCGCCCGTGAAGATCACCTGCGCAGCCTGTAGAAGGAGGAGGAGAAGAAGAAACTGCAGATACCTGGCAATACACATCTATCTATATATATACATATATAGATGTATATATACATACATATACACATACATGAATGTATATGTATATATGTATGCGTGTATAGAGATATGTGTATGTGCTAGCTGGCGTGGATCCCCGAACTGCCAAGTGGCACACGGTGGAGATGCTAGATATGTGGTAAACCGATGCGGTAAAGCTATGCGGTGTGAGCAGGATTGTCCAAGATACGCTGTGTAAGCTACAGTGTGTGTGTGTGTGCACTGTGGTGTGAGATAGTTGGTATGAGCTATGTTGTGTGAGGTATGCAATGTAAGCTATGTTGTGCAAGCTGTGTAGTGTAAGCTGTGTGGCGTGAGCTATGTGGTTGGAGCTTTGCGGTGCAAGCAAAATGGTGTAAGCATGTTGTGTAAGCTGTCTCGTGGGTGCGGAGTCTTGTGAGCTATGCGGTGTAATCGGAGGTTGGGGGGTGAGATCGCAGTGAAACGGAGATCCCCCACCGGAAAATCGATTTCGGTTTCGTGTTCGTGTCGTGCGTGCGGGCGAGGCGAAGCTGCGCGTGATACTCCTGTAGCTAGGCCGAAGTAGGAGCGAAAATCCGTTCCCGTCCGCCGGTGGCTGGGAGGTAGCCCAATTGGGCCGGGCGGTGTCCTCGGTGTCGCGGGTGTCAGTAGGAGCGAAAGTCCGTTTCCCGTCCGCCTGTGGCCAGGAGGTGTCCCAGTTGGGCCGGGTGGTGTCCCGGGTGTCCCGCGGTGGCCCGTTGGTGTCCCGTGGTGTCCCGTTGAATGAGATCGATAGTGAAATCAATAGTGAGATCGATAGTGAAATCGATACTGAGATCGATGTGGTGCCCCGAGGTGTCCCATGGTGTCCCAAAAAGTGAGATCGATAGTGAGATCGAGAGGTGTCCGTGGTGTCCCGTGGTGTCCCGTTGAGCGAGATCGATGGTGAGATCAATAGTGAGATCGATGTGGTGTCCCGTGGTGTCTTGTGGTGCCCCGTGGTGTCCTATGGTGTCCCGTTGGGTGAGATCGATAGTGATATCGATAGGGAAACCGATAGTGAGATCGACAAGTGTCCCGCGGTGTCCCGTGGTGTCCCGTGGTGGCCCGTGGTGTCCCGTGGTGTCCCAAAAAGTGAGATCGATAGTGAGATCGACGAGTGTCCCGTGGTGTCCCGTGGTGTCCCGTTGAGTGAGATCGATCAGAGATCGACAAGTGTCCCGTGGTGTCCCGTGGTGTCCCGTGGTGTCCCGTTGAGTGAGACCGATAGTGAGATCGATTGAGTCAGATGTTGATTCCACCCCCTCTCACCCCCCCCCCCCACAACCTCCTTATCACCCGAAGGTTGGTCGTATAGGTATATGTGGTGTGAGCCACGTGGCGCCCACAGGCGGGCACCAGGCGAAACCTCGGCATACCCCCCGAGCGCGGAGCGCCCACGAGGCGCCCACGAGGCGCCCACGAGGCGCCCACGAGGCGCCCACGGGCGGGCACCAGACGAAACCTCGGCGCCCCAACCCAGCGCGTGGCGCCCGCGAGGCGCCCACGAGGCCACCACGGGCGGGCCCCAGGCGAAACCTCGGCGTTCCACCCCAGCGCGGTGCCCCCAAGCGCGTGGCGCCCGCGAACCCCCCACGCGCGGGCACCCAGCGAAACCTCGGCGCCCATGCCCAGCGCTGGGCGCCCACGAGCGCCCACGCGGGGCACCAGCCGAAACCCTGGCGTACCCATCCAGTACCCTATGTAACCAGAATAAGAACTCCCAAGTACAAGCGTTGTTTGATGCGTCTATAGAGGTATGTATGTATGTATGTATATATAGATACACAGACGCAGATAGAAATGAATGAATGCACCCATACTTATCTATACATATATGTGTTTATGTGTATGAGACTACGTCCTGTTTAATTCCAAAGCTTCGCGCGGACTTCTGCAATCGGCGCTAGACCCCCCTCCCTGGAGTGCAGAGCGCGCCAGGGGCGGCGCCAGAGGCGCCGCCAAAGGCATCCAGCACCGATCCCAGAAGTCCGCGCGGAGCGTCGAAAGTACGCCCGCGCAGGCATATCTCTCGACGTCAGCGCTGCCCGCAGGGGCGAGAGCGGGGCGCCCGAGCGTTTAGGGCCTACGGGGCCGCAGGTCCCAGATCTGGCCAAAACCTGCGCGTTCCCCCACAACGACGACAGCAATATTCCGCTGCGCCAAATTACTGCTGCTGCCCACATGTGCGATTTCGGAAACCCTGAAACCAAAAACGCGCGCATCTCTCCAGGGCGCACCTTTTACGTCCGCCACCTTCCGCCACCTTTCCTCTTTTTGTTCTTACACCCCTTCCTTTTGTTTTCACGGCGCTGCGCCCAAGCACGCTCAGAACGGACGCTTCGTGAAGCGCCAACTGACGCCCGCCGAAATCGGCGCACCCAAAATCCTCGATGTTAGACGGCGGGCCCCACACAGGGACGCGCGAGGAGACTAGGACAGCCAGGGCCCCACGCCCGCGCGCCCCCGCCTTTGCGGAGGCGGCTCTGCTCTGCGAATGCGGCCCTCAGGCCCCCTCTGGGGCCCCCCCCCCCCCCCCCCCCCCGAGACAGCGAGGGAGAGCAGGAGAAGGAGGGAGAGGGCACGCGGCAGCTGCGGCGGCTAGCGGAGCCTCAGGATAGTTCCATGGCCTCACTGACGCGCACGATTCGCCCCACGAGCTCAAGCAGAGCAACGAGGCCACTCGGAGGCTCCACATCAAAATCGCATAGCTACTTCGTGACTTCGAAAGAGAGGGGGGAGGTTCAGGCACAACACATCGCAGGAAGAGAGCACGCGCGCCGTCGGTGAGACAAGCTGCCCCGCCATCTTTTGCCCCCCAGGGAATCGCACGGTCGGCGAGACAATTTGCCCCGCCAGATGTTCCTTCCCAGGGGGGCTGGACGAAATACTGCGGGTCGATCATCGCTCCGGGGCCCGCCGACGTTTGAAGATATATGACACAGTGAACCTAGGCGGGGCCTGGGCGCCGCTAGTTCTGGACGAGTCCCTGGCCACTACCTCCGCGACTTCTTCTTGCCGTCGGATGTATTATTGCCGTCGTCCTTGAAGGCAAGCTGCTCGATCTGCTTGACGACCTTCGACCACGGGCCGCGACCGTGGCCGAGCATGATGGCCACTGACTCCATGCCTCCGTCCAGGCGCAGCACGTTCAGCGCGTTCCTCAGGCCTGGGTGGCGGTTGCAGGCGAAGACCCAGCGACCCCGACCCTCGCCCTCGGTGTTGAGCTGGATCTCGAAGCAGCGGGTGGCCTTCACGATCGCCCCTTTGTTCTGGACGTGGCCCCCTCACTTCGGGGGCTCCGACTGCTTCGACGGCGGCCTGCGAGCGGGGGCCCTGCTCGATGACTTCCATCAGCTTCTCGCGGCCGCTGGTGGCCGCCTCGAGGATCCGAAAGATGGCCATTTTCAAGAGGGCATCTGGTTTCTTTCCCATGAGGCGGCCCTTGAAGTCGGCGCTCTCGCGAGCGGCCCTGACCGCCGTCATGCGCCCCTGGAAGCCTGCCTCCAGCGCGACCTCGACCTGCTGGCCTTCCTTCAGGGTCAGCGCCAGGTCGTCGCCACTCGCCGCGGCCTGGTGGGCGGCCTCGTGCTGGAGCAGCAGGCGGCACATCAAGGACTGGAGCTTGCCGTTCGGGGCCACCTCCTTCTCGTCGCAGGCGCGCCCCCCGGGAGGCCCCTCCGCTCCGCGGTCGACGCCGCCCGAGGTCTCGGCGACCAGGGCAAACGCGGTCAGCTGGTGAAGGTGGCGGGGCGAGCAGACCTGGAAAGTCAGGAGCCACACTCGCATGATCTTGAGCACCGCATGCCCGAGGCGCGCGGCAGCGATTTCTTTGAATGCGAAGAACGGGCGTATCCTTTCGGCTCAATGTGTTGGAGCATCTCGGGCACTTCAGGGATCTCAATCGGTCATATGTGAGGTCCGCGGGGTTGGCGCACTTCTGGTGGACCGAAAACATATGACTAGCTGAGCCTTTGGGTCTTTGACACATACGAGGGCAGGCGGGGCACTCGATCAGCGCCTCGGGGGCGGGCGCCTCTCCCGCGGCTATCTCTGCTTCATCCTCGACCACGCGCCTTCGCACTCGGCGGAGATGGGCGCGAGGGGCCTGACACAACCAACGGAGCCATGGACGGGTCGGGGCGGGCTCGGGATCGCCAAGAGCATGAGCGCCACGGGCCTCCTGCTGGGCATCGGGGGCCTGCGCCCTCCAGAGCTGCTTCAAGTCCTCACGCAGGAGCCCCAGGAGAGAGTTGACTTATTCACGTCGGGGCCCTTCAAAATTGAATCTTCCAAACACCACGGCGCGAACCAGACGGGAGGGGTCGCGCTGGCGGTCCTGGGACCGGCCCTCAGGGTCCTCGGGCGCCTCCAGGTCATCGTCGGGCCCCTCGGGGCCCCGGGGCTGTTTCTTCACGAGGTCGGGGAAGGCAGGTCGAATAACTCCTGTCCACCAGGCAAGCCGTCGCTCGAGCAACGAGGAGGCCATCGTCGCAACACGCGCGAGCTTCCTGACCTCAACGCGACTGACATGACGCACATGGGCGGGAGCACCTGCCGGGTAACGAAGCTTGCGAGCTCGCGAGTCTGCAAGCATTCCAGTCGGAGGAGGTCGCGCTCACCCACTGCTGCAACCTCTAGGCCTTAGAGGAGGGTCGAGCGAACAGGGGGGCACCACAGCCGAACTCGATGCCGAACGCTAAAGTGGCCTTCAAGGGGTCTGACGGGCAAGACGGGCATGCGCTGCGCTTCCACCCTGGATCCTATGAGATACCTCCTCCACCATCGTACAATAATCTCGCTGCCCAGTTCCGATGTATATTGATGCTAGATGTAGCAGTTACAGGCGCGGTGTGCATCTCAATGTTTGTCTGGTTCGCTCGAATATTTGCTTTGCGATGCTTGCTCTTGTTACCCGTCACTACGATCAACATCGCGGTCTTGGCATAGTTCACCTTCATCTTGCCCTTCGAGATTTCGTGTTGCAGAAAAGCGAGAAACTGAGAGGCCGCCGTCTCGAAGTTTTCAGCGGTCGTGAAGGCGATCAGGCCATCGACGAACTTGATCGGCGACACGACAACCCGTTCCTCCCCAACATCACCCAAGAGGCCGGGCCAATATTGTACAACCCCGGGGTCAAAGGTGTCATGCGCTTCGGAAACGTAGTGGATGCTCTCTAGCTCAGACGTGAGAAGGTCGTACACAGCAACAAACAAAAGCGGGCCTTCCACGCTGCCTTGGCGAACGACCTGCGGGATGAGGAGTTTTCTGATGGGCATGTTGGTTATGATGCCCCGTGCGACGTAACAATTGCCATCATGCAGTTCTTCCACGATAAGTCGTAAGTCGGACATGGCGTTTCACTGCCAATTTTTCCGGCCCAGATCTCATCGCGATATATCAAGTCGCACGCCTCCTTCAAGTCGATAAGGACTGCGAGGAGCATACCAGGAACTGCGCCATACCCTAGCCTTGACTTACGACCATGGAGGCGGTACCGTCGAATAACCTCAGCCACCACTGCTGTAGCATCTCTAGTAGAGCGGCCAGCCAAAGCCCCAAACTGCGGATGTGATAGTCGTGACGCCAGTCCTCGAAGCTCGGGCATGACCGTAACGTTCATGACAACTTTGCCGATGCGGTTGATCAGGTTGATCGTCCTGTAGTGGTTCTTGGCGCTCTTGCCGTCCCCTTTCGGCTTCCTGAGAGAGATTGTTTCGCCGTGTTTGAATACCTGGGCTGAATGCCCAAGAGCTTGGCAAGCTTGAAACACGTTGTGTAGAACTGGGGCTGTTTCCGCTACGCACAATTTCCATAACTCAATGACGGATCCATCATAGGGCTGTTCTGCTCGACTTTCCATGGGGGGCTCGAGGGTGGGCTCCGTATCTCTCTGCTTGAAATGCCCCGCCAGAATTTGCTTCCCGCGCTCGGCGGTCATCCTGGAATCTGGCATGGACATCTTGAGGACTGGAGCGCTCTTGAAGTTCGGCATTTTGTGGATAGCCCTCGGAACGTCATCGATGCTATAAGTACCAATACGGGTATCCTCTCGTGGAAGAAGTCCTGGGGGCCCACCGAGGCGACTCATATCTAGGATCGTGCCATCAAGAATGGTGCTCAAAGTGCTGGCACGAACCTCCACTTCCTCCTCAGCGTCCTGGCAGGTCCCACCGGTGGCCGGGTTGTTGACCGTGACGACGGGGGCCACAGGTTGAGGAGCCAGGCGCCGTACCACAGCGTGTAGTTGGCGGAGGTTCATGGCAGCGTCCGCCGTTTCAGCTTCCTTTGCCGTCTCAGCGAGGCGCTGGCGGCGTTCGGCGCGGACTGCCTTGGCGGCAGCTTTGGCGGCCTCGTCGAACCAGGTCTGGAGGAGGCCGTAGGCGGAGGTGGTCTGGTTCGTGTAGCTGGCCATGCGCCTCTGGAGCACGTGTTTCTGGTCTTTCAGCTCGAGGGTCTCGGCACTCAGCTTCGGTCTGGGAACCTTTTTCGGCTGGAGGACGTAGTGGGGCGCCGCGGCCTCTATCAGCGAGTGCTCCAGCTCGTTGAAGTAGTCCGATGGTGTGGCATATTGCAGGCCATCTCCACAAACAAGGCTCCAGGAATGAGTAAGATTGCGCTGGGGAAGAAGATCGGGGAGGCATTCGCGCACAACATCAATGTGGTGTGGAACTGCAGCACTGGCATCGCGTACTAGACGCAGGTCCTTCACCAAGGCGTCACGATCCCATCCAGCTGGCTTCGGGTCGAGGACTCGTTTATAAAGGGAAATTAGGACACACGAATAAAGACACACAAATAAAAACAGTCCCCATGTTTTCCTCTATTTTCGGGGTTTCTGTCCTCCCCCCCACTCCCCATATTTTCCCACATTTTCCTGGGGATCGTCGATGAATTGTGTCTGTGTTTTTTTTTTCCCTCCTGAGCTTAGCTCGCATGCCAGCGTGGAGGAGGAGGAGGAGGAGGAGGAGGAGGAGGAGGAGGAGGAGGAGGAGGAGGAGGGTCGAGGACTCGTTTAGCTCGTTTTCCTTCCGCCGACCTTCTGCCCCGCCCTTCCGCCGCCCTCCCACCGCGGAGGAGGCGACAACCCCTTCTATCCTCGGACGCGAGGCCCTTTTTGGCTCCTCCTCCTCCTCCTCCTCCTCCTCCTCCTCCTCCTCCCTCCTCCTCCTCCTCCTCCTCCTCCTCCTCCTCCTCCTCCTCCTCCTCCGCGTGTGTTGCTTTTCTTCTTTCCCCTCAAGATGGTATCGGACCAGCGGTAACGCAGGTGAACAATCCATGCGGCAGTGCAGCGATGCTGGCAGCAACCTGCAGTAGCCCCTGATTCGGGCGGAGTGGGAAAGGGAAGGGAAGGAGGAGGAGGAGGAGGAGGAGGAGGAGGAGGAGGAGGAGGAGGAGGAGGAGGAGGGGGGAAGCCGCAGGAGAGGAGGAGGAGCAGAAGGGAGTTCAGGGCGATGTGTGTGTGTGTGTGCATCCTCTGGTGTTCAGACGTTTCGAGTAGGGCATCCACTAGAGTTCGTCGAACCTACGACAGCTACGTATCACGCACGTCAGTAGAGCAACCTTCCTGCGTCTGCTCGACGAAAACATGTCATGCCGTGAGCCCCCTGCTCGACTGCCTGCGATGTGTGCTCTCCCCCGGGCCTCCGGCAGGGGGCCCGCCTCCCGCAGGACCTCCGCCAGCGAGCAGCCGGTCCACCTGGCGCAGCCGACGGAGTCGGGCCCCCAGGGGACGTGGGCCCAGAGCCGCCGCTTCTGCAGAGACCTGTCTGACTACCTACCAGACCACCCCAACCCAACCCGAAGACCCCAATTTCGGGTTGGGGGGGGTAATGGGTTCCACACGTGTTTTTTCGACGTTCCCCGACCCCCCCCCCACTGGAAATGGAGGTCAATTTGAGGCCTTCGGGTTGGGTTGGGGTGGTTTGGTGGGTGGTGACTGTCGGCCAGACGCAGGGAGTGACCCCAGGCAAGAGGTGACCCCTGGGTGCGCGGCTTCCAGGGAGCCGCGGGAGGCGAAGGCCGGGTGCGCAAGCCAGTGCTCCTCGCTCCTCCCTCCTGCTCCTCCTCCCCCTCCCCCTCCTCCTCCTCGCATGTCCACGGATGGCTCTGAGGGATCCTGCGAGGATCCGTAGGAACTGCATGAAAGCCCCTACAAGGTCCGATGGGATCTGCAAAGACTCACGCCTGTGGCCGGTTTCCAGGCGCTACCGTTACGGGCGAAGGGGGCCAGGGGAGGGGGGTAACACGCGGTATCTCTGGAGGCAGTGACAGAGCAAAATCTCTTGGGGGTCGCCCTGTGGGCCCACACCAAGGGTCACCCCCGTGAAGGGCCACCCTCACGCCTAGCCGAAGACCTGCCAGTGCCCGCGCAGGCCATGAGCACTGGCACCGTCTCCGCGGGGCGCGCGCGGACGTCGTCCAGAGACAGGCGCAGCTCCTGGGGCGCAGAAGGACATACTAGTACTACGCGCCCTCCTTGAAGGCGCATGTCTGAACCGAACATATAGTACAACAGTATTGCAGCATGTCGCTACCCCAGCGGCATGGCCAGCAAGCGCCCGCCACCAAGCATACGTATGCCATAAGATCTCTGAACGCGTGCGTCGCCCCTTTGGGGCCGACGCACCCAACATGGCAGAAGTGTCTTTGGCTGAAGCTGAGTTCCTTCCTCACCAGGCCGTGCAGGCGCAGCGAATGCCCCCTCGGGAGCACCGGCACGTCGTAGTGGATGAGCTGGTAGTGGGAACCGACGGGCGTTTCCTCCTGGCGCAGCATCTCCATGTGGAAGCCGTGGCAGCGCTTGCCCACCTGCACCTCTGGAGGAACAGAGAGCTGCAGAAGCACATAATTTGTCGTAGGTCCCCTCCCTGGCGCGCGGAGCGCGCACAGGACGGCACTAGAGGCGCCGCCAGGGGGGCCCAGCGCAGATCCGAAAAAAACGCGCGGAGACATCTATGGAATGCACAGGAACATACTGATAATACGTCCTCCTTGAAGGCGCGCGCGTCCGACCCGAACATATATATATATATATATATATATATATATATATATATATATATATATTAGACCCATCTTGTAGTGCATGGTTTCCCGACCGGTGGCCAGAAAGCGCCCGCCACGACGCGTATAAGATTTCTCGGTGCGCGCGTCGCCCCTGGGGGGGCGACGCACACATGGTATTAGCATGTTGGGGTGACGCCGAATCTATGTTCGTGCAACTTGTTTTTCTTCGAACCTCCGCGGCCGTGAAGTTGTCACGGCCAGTGGTGTGCATCCAGTCGTCGGGCTCCAGCTCCTGCTGAGGGCCGACGTCGGGGTGGGGCCGGCTCAGGGGGGCAAACATCGAGTTTGGATCGGCGATACATCGCCGATGGATCGGAGAAGGGCCCCTGATAGCCCAATCTGGACGTTCCTGGGCGGGATGGGCCATCAGGCCCCTACCACCTGTGATCATTGAGGGACTGGTCGGCGGCGAGCCAGGTGGGAAGTGAGAAGGGGAAGGCCTTCTCAGAGGGCGGCGGGACTTCTCAGAAGCCCTCGCGCCTTCTGAGCAGTTGTCTGTGCCCTCGAGGGGGGCCCAGGGAACTTCTCGCAAGGCCCGGAGGCTTCGGAGCCTTCTGGGAAGGCCAGCCCCCCTCACTTCCCCCCTGGGCTCCCCCCCATCCTCCCCTCCATCCCGCCTCGCCCATGCCCCCCTCCTTCGGTGGCAACTCTTCGGAGCCCACCATGCCATCTTGTTGGCAATTTGCGGATCGACGCCAGTCGACTCTCACTTGCCCACAGGGCTCGCCGCCGAGTGAGGGGTCGAGGCCCCCCCCCTGAGCCTACCCGCCACCCGACGCTGCCCCCGGACCTGCTGCTCCCGGGCCGAGAAGGCGTCGGGCCCGACGTGCGCGAGGACCTCTGCGCGGTGCTGCGCGGCTAGCTTCGCCTCCTCTGCGGCGGCGGCGAGTAGCTCCGGCGAGGGCGCCACCATCGCCAGTCCCCTTGTCTCCCTGGCAAGCCTGAGCAGGATGGCCACGCCCGGCTGCAGCTTAAGCCAAACTGGCCACGGGAAGAGTAGGGGGATGAAGACGAGGGCATCACGATGAGGAGAGGGAGGACGAGAAAGAGAGAGAGGAGGGGAAGGAGGACGACAAGGATAATGGGACGGGACAGGACTGCATACATACATGCATGCATGCATACATACATGCATACATACATGCATGCATGCATGCATACATACAAACAAATATACATACAGGCATACATGCATAAATACATACACATACACATACACATACACATACACATATACATACACATACACATACACATACACATACACATACACATACACATACACATACACATACACATACACATACACATACACATACATACATACATGCATACACACATACATACATACATACATACATTCATTCATTCATTCATACATACATACATACATACACACATACATACAAGCAAGCATCCTAACATACAAACAGCCATACAGACAGACAGACACACAGACACACGAACAGACAGACAGACATGCATGAGTAAATACATGCACACACATACATGCATTCATGTATGCATGTATACATACGCACATACACGCATCAGTACAATCATGCGTACATCTAGACGTACATACATACATACATACATACATACCTGCATGCATACATACATACATACAAGCATACTAACTTACAAACAGCCATACAGGCAGACAGACACACAGGCACACGAACAGACAGACAGACATGCATGAGTAAATACATACACACACCCATACATGCATTTATGTATGCATGTATACATACGCACATACATGCATCAGTACAACCATGCGTAGATCTATACAAACATATCTACATACATACATACATACATCCCTGCATGCATACATACATATATACCTACGTACATACATACATACATACAAAAACATGCATACATACTCCTGACACACAAATATACAAACATACATACACACCTACATACATACACCCATGCATACATACATACATACAGGCAGACAGGCAGACACAAACATGCATACCTACACCTATACAGACGTGCATACATATATACATGCGGACATACACGCATACGTGCGCACGGACATACACACGTACATGCATACATACATACATTCACGCATGCATGCATGACATGCATGAATACATACATACATACATACATACATACATACATACATACATACATACATACATACATACATACATACATGCATACGTGCATGCACGCGTGCATGCATACCAACCTACCGACCGACCCACCTACCTACATCGGTCCATCCGTCCGTCCGTCCACCCATACATGTACACGTAGATACCTACATACATACATGCATACAGACATGCATACGTGCCTTCATGGATGCCTGAACGCCTGCATACATACATGCATACATGCATGCGTGCTTGTATGCATACGTGTAAACATACACGCATGCATACACCTACATGCATGTATGCATGCATAAGTACATACAGACAGACAGACAGGCATACATAGATGCATGGAGATATACATACATACACACGTGTACACCTACCGATCTACCTACATACATACATGCATATTCACGTACATACAGACGTACACACGTACAGGCAGGCATACACACATATATATATACATATGTATATGTATATGTATATATATGTATATATGCATATATGTATATCTATATATATATATGTACGCCCACATCTAGAAAGGTTAGGTTTCGACCCCGTGCGGCTTGGGCCATACACTTTTCGGAGGCCGAGAGAGGAGACATGAGCAGAGGGTGGAGCCGACCATCAGCAGCAGCGACGAGGGGAGCATGCCCGATCCGCGGCGCGGGGTACAGAGGGAGGACAACGAGGAAGAGGACGAGGAGAAGAAGGAAGAGGAAGACGGTGAAGACGAGGAGAAAGATTGGCAGGATGAGGGGAAGAAAGATGATTGTGATGGGAATCGGACGCGGAGCTAGGAGGGAGAGGAGCATGCGGACGAGAGTGAGGATAATGAGGAGGAGGGTTAGAGGATGAGAGTGAAGATGGTAATCAAGAGGATTAGGATGGGCATGACGAAGCAGAGGAAGAGGAAGAGGGGAAGAAAGAGGAGCGTAAATAGAATCGAACCTCTCATAATGCCATCGTGTATGAGGGCCTGCTCAAGCAAGCATGCTTTTGATGCATGATGTGTTGTAGATCGGTTGGCGACGTGCCCGGTGTCCAAGTGCGCCTGCGAGTTCATGACATGTGCACCCTTCGTTGACACGTCGGTGATCGATCTTGGGGCCCGATGGGGAGTGGCAATCGCTCGCAGCATGTCAGACGTTGGAATGGGTTCCTCGCAGCCCGCACTCTGTTGGAGAGCGCGGTGCGCTGGCTCACCAGGACGCTGCATCACCACCCGCTCAACGACCGCCCCACCTCCCTCTACAGTGCACAGCAGGTTCACGTGTAACACCACAAAGACTGCGCCAAAACACGGCGCGAAACAAACAGCTGATCCAACCCCGCGGCCTCTACAATTGGGAATGCGAACGTAGCCCCCCCCCCCCTCCTCACCCAACAACTCCGTGCTTCCCACTCCTCCTCATCCGAATTCCATCCTCTTCCACCACCACCACCTTCAACGCATGTCCAATCCTCCTAATCCTCTCCTTCCGCCTCCGCCGCCTCCTCGTCATTTCTCCATCCTCCCGCATCCTCTGATTCCGAATCCACCTGGTCCTCCTTCTCACCCTCTTCCTCATCACCCGCCTCCCCTCAACCCCATTACCTTCTTCATGCGTACACCTCTGGTATATATGATCGATCACAGCAACGAGGAGACGAATCCTCCCTGTCGCACCCCGAGACGTATAGGTAGCTCGGGCAAGGCACTCCGGATGGGACTTCTTCACCACACAGGGCGATTACTTTTCAAACTGGGGCTCTCGCTTGGGAATTCCTCGAAGATCATGACCAGAAGCCTCAGCTTGTGCAGCAGTTTCCCCAATGAGCGCGGTCATTTTCTCAAAACGCTGCGTTCGCTGAACAATCGGTGAAACTATATCATGGTTCCGTTTCGTGTTCTTTGTTATTTGCCAGACGGATGCAAGGCAGTCCCATTTCAGAACGAGGCTCTCGCCTGAATGGCAGGCTCACTACATGCTAATATTTCCAAGGACGCGTCATGTAGTGACAAGGAAGGCTAGCAGGGACTTGGTGACGGAACGTGGGATGGGAGGGTGTCTTGCAGCATCGTTGATGCATCTCGGGTATCCTATGCTCCTCCTCCTCCTCCTCCTTCTCCGTTTCCTTCTCCTCCTCCTTTCCTCTTTGTCCTCCCACTCCTGCGGAGCCCTTGGGGGTAATGCCCCATCTGATGGGCAGGGGGAGGGGCTACGCAAAAAAACATACCCAATGACCTGGCCGAGTCGCGGCACAGATGTCTTCTCGTCTGGGCCTGGCTGGGGATGTGATACTTGTCTGAGTTGTTTGCTCCAAGTCCCTTGCGAAAGAGACGAGCCACTTTAGTGCGACGCGCTCCTCCAGCGGGGAGGGATGAGGGAGGAGCGATGACGGAGGAGCGAAGAGGAGGAGCGAGAAGGAGAGAGGGGAGGGGAGGAGCGACAAGTTAGGTGCGCTCACGTCAAATCTGACGTCATACCCCTCAATCCCATTCCTTGCCATTGCGTAGAGCCCCCCCCCTCTATTAGCACAGTAAGATATTGAAGAGGACAACGATCCCCAAAGGGTCGCGATGCGTAGCATGGCATCACATTGCATAGTCAAGCAGAGAGTATCATAGCATTGCAGCACATGGCATGGCATCACATAGCGGTACGGAGCAGATCATTGCATGGCACGCATTGCATGGCACAGCACTGCGTAGCCCAGCGTTACATACCACAGCATTGCAGAGCAAGGCGTAGAGTCGCGTCATAACTGAACATAGTATCGAATTGCACACCATGGCTGTATGAACAGCAGCAGAAAGACCATGCTGGAGTACCGACAACGTGAAGATATGAGGCCAGTGCTGCAGCGGGAGCACCACTCGGAAAGACCGGCGCTGCAGCGAAAACACCATTCGGAAGGACCGGAAACGGGGAAATGAGACCAGAACTGCAGAGGGAGTATGATTCTGACCAGAAGCGCCGCAATGAATTCAGCACTGCACCGGGAGTACGATTTTGAAGGACCGTAAACGATCGGATTGGAAAAACACATGAGAGAAGCCAACCCGCCCACATCATGTGTAAAGAACAATACGCGAAGGTGGGCGGATACTCTCAGCACGTGTTCGGGGGAGAGAGGAGAGAGAAGAGTAGTATCTAGATTGTGTGACTGTGGCGGAGGAGGAGGAAGAGGAGGAGGAGGAGGAGGAGCGAGGAAGGCAAGGGAGGAGGAGGAGAAGTGGAAGGAGGTAGGAGGGGACGAGGAGGAGGAGGAGGAGGAGGAGACGGAGTGGGAGGGAGGAAGGAGCAAGGAGGAGGGAGGAGGAGGAGGAGGAGGAGGAGGAGGAAGAGGAGGAGCAGGCCCTGGGGAACCAGCGCCCTTCCGGAGGGAGCACCAGCGTCGTCTGGCCATCGGACCACTCGTACATGCCGTGCGCTGCGGAGGCGCAGCCACTGGGGGCCGGAGCGGTGCGTGGGGCGTGGCAGGGAGAGGAGAGGGGGCGCGGAAGAAACCAAGTCCGCGAGGGGTCTTTGTGGTGGGGCCGAACCTACGGGTTTTACGTTTCTGAAGCTGGAGCGGTTCATCTCGCCCGCCCCTCCCCCGCCTCCCCTCCACCTCTCCCCATCTCCCCAGCCATGGCAAGCACGCGTGTCGGTATCGTTTCCGCTATGTCGTGAGCGCGCCACGGGCAAATGTCGTGTTGCCTGTGTCCATGCGTCCTCTCGGGTGCACGGCTTTGTGTCTGTCTGCTTCCTCTCGGCCTTACACGGCTTGTAGCGCGCGTGCACAGCCTCGTGCACTAATTTCTCGACCTCTGGAGGCGGGAGAGGGTGTGGTGGCTTGGACGTCCATCGCACTCCTTGGCCTCCCGTGGAGTGGGGGGGGTCTCGACGCCACGGCCCGATCCTCCTCGAAGTCCCGGTCGGAGCGCGCAACGGGAGAGCTCTGCGGGGCGGCCTTGAGTGTTCCAAGAGGGGCGAAGACAGATGTGAGGGCTTAAACCCACCCTTTCCTGGCCGTGCAAGGGACAAGCGTCAAGCGACAGTTTGCCTCAAGCCACCAGCGTGACGCGGCACGCCAACCTGCTTCATGTCCTCCCACTGCTGCCCCACCTCGCCACAAGTACTTTCTTCTCTGTGGCTGTCATAATTGATGGTTTTTTCTCCAGCGGGCATGTACTGCGGATGGTGAGGCAAATCTGAAGTATCCCCGACTCCTTGTCGCTGCTGTTTCTTCGCGTCTTGCCCTCCTCGTAGTTCCCCAGCTCCCTCATCCACTCCCGATGTACACCCCAATATACGTTTTGACGATATTGAGGTGTCTAGACCCGTAAGTGCCTGGGGGGCCAGGCGGCCCTAGAGCACTCCCTGGGCTACCCAATTATTCACCGCTACCAGTTGATGGCCATCCAGAGGGATTTGTGCTACCTCGCACTGCCGTCGAACGACCAAAAACTGCCTAAGCTCCGAACCGACCCGACCCCCCCCCTTCCTCCTCACCGTGTTTTCCAGATCCTCCTCGTCCTCATCCTCCTCCTCCTCCTCCTCCTCCTCCTCCTCCTCCTCCTCCTCCTCGTCCTCCTCCACCTCCATCCCTCCTCCTCCGCTTCCTCCTCCTCCTTTTGCACGTTAGAGTAACTTGAGGAACTAACCTGTCGCGTTCTTGCATGTCCGAAACATGAAGAACCGACCCGGGGCACTGTACCTGTACATGGCGGGCGCCGCGGAAATGCGGGAAAGAAAACCATGGAATAGGAGAACAACAAAAAGAGTAGGCACCCGCCAGGTAGAGGTTGACACTAGCCTTAGTAGACAAATTCCTCCTCCAATAGAAAGCCATCATCAATGGTAAGTGTCGCCTCGGTAAGGTAAAAAGTAAGAAGGGGCCATGCAGGTAAATGAATGCAAAACTGAAATGCGAGCAGTTCTAGGGCTGCTGCCCAGGATTTCGATTGACCCCTAACCGTAGGCACGTCCATCCTCACCTCCAGCATCCCCAAACCTGCCCACACACCCCTTCCAAACAATAAGAGTAAGGCTGGCTGCACTGCGCTTTTGCAGACAAGAAAATAAATAGCATAGGCTGGCCCTGATCTCAATCCGCCTCTTCCCCATCTTTTTACTCCTTCGATCCCCAACTCCTCCTCATCCCCTCAACGTTCTTCTCCTCTCCACACGCCAACTGCTGATCCACCTTGTCTCACATGCTGCTCACCTGAAGTCGAGTGGCAACGTGTTTGGCAACAGTTCTAGTCAAGTTGATCGCCTTTCGCCCTCCACCCTCCTCCAAACTTTCCTCCCCCCATCCGAAGAGACGCCAAGGCATAGATGGCTCACACCATTCCTCAGGCGAGTCCGAGCTTCGGTTTGACGCCAACCAGCTCGATCTCTCTCTCTCTCTCCCTCTCTCTCTCGCTCTCTCTCTCTCTCTCTCTCTCCATCTCTCTCTCTCTCTCTTTCTCTCTCTCTCTCTCTCTCTCTCTATCTATCTCGTTCTCTCTCTCTCTCTCTCTCTCTACGTAGATGTATCGACATAAGTATGTAAACCTCCCTCTCCATCTCTCTCTCTCTCTCACTATCCCTTCTTCTCTCTATGCACCTCCCTCTCTCTACAGGTGTGCAGTCGGTTGCGTGTATGTATACATGTCTGTGCCACGCCATACATTAATATCAATATATATCTACGCGTATATCTCTCTCTCTCTTTCTCTCCCTCTCCTTCTCGCTCTCTCTCTCTCTCTCTCTCGTTATCTCTCGTTGTCTCTCTATGTTTGTGTCTCTCTCTCTCTTTCTCTCTCCCCCCCTATCTGTCTATGTACATATCTATACAGATATATACACATGTACATCTGCAACTGCACTCCCGACCTGTACAAATCGATAGACATATCTATATATGTTTACGTACTAGAACCATCGCGCGCGCTCAAGTTCTAGCTAGGCTTGATAGGCTAGCTCATGTGATCTCGTTTTGGTCGCTTCTTGCGTCCAGGGACTCCCTTGAAGGCCCTGCGCAAGCCTCAGAAGCGTATAGAAGGGGAAGTGCGGAAACGCAGAAATCACTAATTCCCTTTAGGTATTCAACGGTTTGGGGCCCTCAAAGGCTTCCTGTGTTCTTTTTGGGGAGGTGAGGGGGGTCTGAATTGTGGTCTGTTCTTTTCCATTCTGAAGGGTTCTTGGGGCTGTCTTGGGGCGTCCTGGAGCGTTTTGGAAACTCCCCAGGAGGCCGGGGGGCGCGGTACCAGGCGCCTCTTCGGCAGTCTTGGGGGTTTCTTGGCCCGCCTTGGGCCCGTCCTGGGAGTCGTTTGGGCGGTCTTGGGGCGGTCTTGGACCGTTGGAAGCTCGAAAACGCGAGAAGGCCCCCCCCCAAAAAAACTAATCAAAATCGACGATTTGGGCCTCGTCGGGCTTTTCCGGGACGCTTCTCCGACCTCTCTTGGAGCCTTTGGGAGGCCTTCTGGGAGCGTGGAGAGCCATCCACAGGGTGTTTGGGACTTCTTGGGAGCGTCTTGGGCCGTTCTCTACGTTCTGGGAGCTTCTTGGGGTTGTCATGGGGGGTCTCCCCAAGAAGCCGGGAGGCGCGGTACCGGCCAGATGTCAGGGGATGTGTGGGACCCCGAGTAGGGGATCCAGTTTGAAAAAAGGGGAATTCTTGGACTTCCCTCTCTTTGTTCAAAATCCTCGATCTTTGAGGGTTGGAAGCAGGAAAGCGTGAGAAGGCGAAAGCACGGGAAAAAACATTGGAAATCAACGATTTAACCCTCTTTGGGCTCTCTCGGGACGGCTCTCGCAGCTCTCTTGGGCTGTTCTTGGAGCCTCGTCGGGGTCTTATCGGGGCCTCTCAAGGATCGTGTGTGTGTGTGTTGGAGGCCTCTGGGTGGTCCCGGAGGCCTCTCGGAGGTCTCTGGAAGCTTCCTGCTCCCGCTCTTGGGCCCATCTTGGGCCTGCTCTGGGGTGGTCTGGGGCTGTCCTGGGCGCCTCTTCGGCAGTCTTGGAGCCTTCTTAGCCCGTCTTGGGGCCGTCCTGAGAGTCTCTTGGGCGGTCTTGGAGCGGTCTTTGGCGCTCTTGGACCAGTGGAAGCTCGAAAACGCGAAAAGCCAAAAACATTTGAAACAACAATGAAAATCGACGATTTGGGCCTCTTCGGGCCGTCCCGGGACGCCTCTCGGACCTCTCTTAGGGTCTCTTGAAGGCCACCTGGGAGCTTCGAGAGCCGTCGGAAGGCTGACTTGGGCTGCTTATGAGCGTCGTGGATCATCCTTTCGCATTCTGGGGGCTCCTGGGAGGCGTCGTGGGCCTTCCTGGGGCGCTGTGGAGGCTCCCCGGAAAGGCCGGGGGAGCGGTACTGGGAGCGTCCCCGAGATGTCACGGGGAGGTGTGGGACCCGGGGCCGGAGGCGGTATATATTTATATATATATATATATATATATATATATATATATATATATATATATATATATATATATATATATATTATATATATGGGTGTGATCATATGGTAGGTGTATATATCTCTATGTGTATACGTATATAAAATTACTTGATTAATCGTACTATTGCACTGCATGCCCCTACACTTCCCACTTCCCGTACCAAGGCCACTCTCACGGGAATCGCTTCTGATTGAAAGGGGCACGCGAAACGCAGAAGATTATAACGACCTGCGCCAATACATCGCGCCACTTGGTCGCGATACAAGATACAGCGCTCACCGCACCTCATGTGTATTGCAAGGCTGCTGCACTTACTGTCTGTGAAGTACTGTTACACTTCTGCTCGACACACTCGATGTCACAGCAAGTACCCTACGATTGGCCAACTCAGGAGGAAAAAAATATAAGATGTTTTACCGCGGGACTCCCTGAGTACCATCCGTCATACACACATGCCTTCATGCGGAACTTGCCTCTGCAACCGAGACGCTAGAAACACTCTGATCAGTCGGAGCCGGAATTTGAAGAAGTGAAAGGCGGTGAACACAAGACTCCAAAGGCGTCGCCGCCTCCGTGTGATCATCTTCTCCAAGCAAGCCTCCAATACGATACTTGATACGGCCAAGGTGCTTGACGTAGAACTTCAAGTACCGGATGCCGTGCAGAGTGCTCCCATGGGCAACTTTCAGCTCTACCTGCCCGAGCTTTAGCCACTTCGGGGGTTCGTCGTCCGCACCCTCAGCTCGGAAACGGAGACCACCAGTCTGCTTCGCCTCCGCCCACGCACCTGTGACATTCAGTTCTTGGAAGTACATGTCTGCGCATTGCCCACCCAATCGGCTTACCTCGGCCTCTACACGAAGCAAGGCGTCCTGAAGGCGCTCTTTCCGTGGAATATTCAGCAGAACATGTTTACCAGGCCTCATCAGGTCAAACCGCTCACCATGTATGTTATGCAAATGAGGATCGCCTGTGGCAGCCACGCCTCCACTTGCTGCAGCCGCGCCTCCACTAATCGGGGCTGGCGTAGGACTCGGCGTCGGAGACGGCGTCGGGCTTGGCGTCGGAGACGGCGTCGGGGCTTGCGTCGGATGCGGCGTCGGAGACGGCGTCGGGCTTGGCGTCGGAGACGGCGTCGGGGCTGGCGACGGATACGGCGTCGGGTACGGCGTCGGGTACGGCGTCGGGTACGGCGTCGGATTCGGCGTCGAGCTCGTCCCGTAGATGTAGAACACGACATCCTCCAACTTCTTGTAGCCAGAGCAATCGGAGCCACCGTTCACGCAGCGGTAACCGCTGGGGCCACTCCAGCAGTCTGTTTGCGAATGCCCGAAGAAATACCGGCAACATGACTCCCCGCCGAGATTCGGGGTTGTGTACAGCAGGTCTATGCCGTGCGAAGTGGATGGTAAAGTGGCCCATGTCGACACCGTTTCGTATGAGGATCCCAGGCCAACCAACGTATTAGTTTTGGTCACGCCGAACGACCGATGATTGTCTTGGTACGCATCGTTCGTCTTGACGTACAGATACGAAGAGCAATCTGAGCTCTTGATTTGGTAGATGTGAGAGTAGCCGTCCCGCGCCGTGGCCATGGCGTTGATTTCCGCGTCGGAAAGCTTCGCATGGCTTGATCCCACTGCCGAGTTAATGTCTCCATAGGCCCCCGTTGTCAGAGGAAAAGAATGCGTCCCCCTGGATCCATCCTGGATTTGGTATATCTTAGTCCATGACGCCTCTGACGCCCCGACCCGCGCCTGGCTGCTTTCGTTGACGTGGACAACCCTTGATGGCCCACGTTCACGGTGCCAGGTCTTTTTCTCACAGGGCGCTGGGCACACACTGGACAGCCTGGCGGTGCCGTGCAAGTGCCGCTGGAACTCCTCAAAGGTTGAGTTCACTGTGAGAGGGGAATACCACTCCGGGTGCGCTGCAGCACCCTTCTGCATCGCCCACACCACCTTCTCGTAGCACGGATCGCCCGCGACAACGGTGCGGCATCCCGCGTTCGGCTTCACCGCCGCCTGCACGAGCTGCGTGTCGGTGCCACGGAACTCATCCTGCATGGCAAGCGCGGCAGGAAGCCACAGATGGACAAGACGTTCAATGGCAGGCCTCGCCATTGTCAAACACGTAGTTGGTGTGTAGCGCGATGTGCAATAAATAAGCAAGTGTGTACGTCCACGTGGTCAGCGACGAGCTGCGCAAAGGAGACTTGACTCCAAACGGGCAGGCGGAGGAGGAGAGGGGAACAGGGAGGGAGAAGCAGAGAGGTGGGGGGCGGGAGGATGGGGGAGGACGAGCCACGAGGCGAGGCATGAGGGGGCGAGGGGAGGCGGACGTGATGCGATGAGGCGCGCGGGGGGGGAGCAGCAGGAGGTCGCAGGCGGCGGAGGAAAGCCGCAGGATCCACGAGGTGGCCGGCAGGAGCCGAGCGGAGGACGAGGAGGAGGGCTCGGAGCACACGCATGAGACTGCGCGCGCAGGATCTGCACAGAGGGGCCGTCGAAAGAAGGCACGCCAAATAAGGAACGAGGCCCCGTTTTGGCGCCCCCGTGGCCCGGGTGCACGAGGAGCGCCCAAGGGAACGGCCGTGGAAGGGCCCGAAGAGCAGCGAGTCCCCCCTGGGCACCGAGGCTCTCTGACCTCGGCGCCTCGCCTGTGCACGCCAGCATCGGCAAAGCCATCATGCTGCCAGAAAGGGGGCGGCACCACAAGGGACGAGAAGGGGGCTTCCCTGGCCACGGCGGGCCCGGGCCTCCAGCAGGCCCCACGGCATTGGGTCTGGGGGGCGGCCCGAGAGCCCGAGCCCCTCCCGTGGAGGAGCAGACAGGGATGAGGACAGGAGCTGTCGGACGTCAGGCTCGTGTCACTGTTTGTTCCCTCGCCTCGTCGGGCGGCCAGGGGCGCCGGATTCACTCGGGCGAATTCGCCGGGGGGCGTGCTGGGGCGCGCTCCGGCCCCCGCCTTTCCTCCCTCCCTCCCTCCTCCCCCTCCTCTTCCTCCTCTGTGCCACTGGGCTTTCTCGCGCTCGTAAAAGAGTGGCATGGTCTGCTCCCTGACCTCCCGAGCCCAGGGCAGTCCAGAGGGGGGCCGACCTGCCGAGGAGTGCGCAGGGCGCACGCGCCGGCCCCGTGCGCGGCAAGAGGCCGTGCCAGAGCGCTGGCACGGGTGCTGCTGGAGGGAACGGCGCGGTGTGGACAGGCACTGCGCACTATGGCGTGGAGTATCGGCGGTGGGCAAACCTCCCTTCAAAAAAAACACCCTTTAGCGAAAGCGGCCTGGGATCGAAACCGACGGACTGGGACCCGCAAAAATGGCGGCCGCGACGCCTTCCCGCGAACCGGAAACTGCCAATTCGCTACTCGACGTGTCAGGGTAGGAGGTCTGTCCACCCCCAAGGAATACACTGTACATGTTGTTCTGGTCTCAGCGGCGAGGATCCACGCCTGCTTCGAGGGCAGGTGAAGGACACCACGGGCCCCCGAGTGGGCACAGTAAGCGAGAGAAGAGAGAGAGCGCGCCGAAGGGGGAGGAGCGCGCTCGGCGCATGGAGTTCTTGAGTGTGCGTGCCGGAGCACGAGCGTCGCGCGGAAGCCCATGGAGGCGAATAGGACTCGAACCCAGGAGGAGGAGTTTAAAACCCGCGTGCTCCCGCCCGTGAGTGGGTGCCCCTGGACTCGGCACCCCGCGCAGGCAAAACGCGCCCGAGGCGGGGTGGGCCAGCGGCCTCATCTCACGGCGTCGTGCTGCCGCCACTCGATGACTCCTGGAGTCGCCCCGCGAGCGGCGGCAGTTTGAAGAAATGCTGCCGCCGCCCTCTCAGAGCTTGAGGAGCAGCCTGATGGACGGCCGCAGCCGCTCCTCCGCTCTGCGCTCTTCCAGGGACCGCCCTGGCCGCTGGTCCCTGGACTCGTGGGCCTTCACGGCCGCCTTGCCTGGCGCAGGGCTGTGGCCTAACCCCTCGCCACGCTGGGGTGCATTGCGGCCTAGCCCCTCGCCGCGCAGGGGTCCTCCGTGGCCTAACCCCTCGCCGCGCTGGGGCCTGCTGCGGTCTGGCCCCTCACCGCGCTGGGGTGCTCCGTGGTGGCCTAACCCCTCGCCACGCAGGGGTCTGTTGCGGTCTAACCCCTCACCGCGCTGGGGTCCGTCGTGGCCTGACCCCTCGCCACACTGGGGGTCGGTGCGGTCTAACCCCTCACCGCGCTGGGGAAAATCGTGGCCTAACCCCTCGCCACGCTGGGGGCTGCTGCGGTCTAACCCCTCACCGCGCTGGGGTGCTCCGTGGCCTAACCCCTCGCCACGCAGGGGCCTGTTGCGGTCTAACCCCTCACCGCGCTGGGGTCCCATGTGGCCTAACCCCTCGCCACGCAGGGGCCTGCTGCGGTCTAACCCCTCACCACTATGGGGTCCGCCGTGGCCTAACCCCTCGCCACGCTGGGGATCGTTGCGGTCTAACCCCTCACCGCGCTGGGGTACTCCGTGGCCTAACCCCTCGCCGCGCTGGGGCCTGCTGCGGTCTAACCCCTCACCGCGCTGGGGTCCTCTGTGGCCTAACTCCTCGCCACGCGGGGGTCCTCTGCGGTCTGCCTCCTCGCCGTGCTGGGGTCCTTCCTGGCCAAAACCCTCACCATGCTGGGGTCTGCTGCGGTCTAACCCCTCACCGCGCTGGGGTCCTCCGTGGCCTAACCCCTCGCCACGCTGGGGTCCTCTGCGGCTGCCAGGTGGTACCCTGTGCTGTGCTGTACATCTGGGATCTGCTGGAGGTTGTCATCGCTGTCCTGCTTGTCTGCGGGCTGCTGGAGGCAATCCTCGCTGTTCTCCTCTTCTAGGAAGTGGTCGAGGTCTGCCATGTCCATGGTGCTCCGTCCTGCTGGTGGGGGACGGGCACCCCTCTGCATCCCGTCTGGCGCAGGGCTGTGGCCTAACCCCTCGCCACGCTGGGGTCCTCTGCGGCCTACCCCCTCGCCGCGCAAGGGCCCATGGTGGCCTGACCCCATCTCCACGCAGGGGCCTGCTGGAGGGTTTCTGCCGCTCCTCTGCCCTTCTCGCCTCCAGGGACCGCTCTGGCTGCGGTCCCCTGGGCCCCTGGGGCCTCTCGAGCTCGGGCGCTGGCGTTGTCGTGCGCAGCTCGGCGGGGCTGCTGGTGGCCCTGGCCTCTGGGCCCCTCCTCGGCTGTCTGGCTGAAGCCCTGCTTGGCACTCGCACTGCTGCTTGCGGTCGCGGGCTGCGGCTCCTCGCCGCTGGCTCAGTCACGCCCGGGAACTGCTCAGCCATCGCTCTGCGCCGCTCTGCCTCCTGCGGGTCCTGCTGCTGGATCTGCCCGCGCGCCTCTCCGCTGTTGAGCCATGCCAGGCGGCAGATCTCCTCCGCCGCTCGGCGCTGGCTGCGCTGGCGGCTCGGCCCTGGCACGTTGCTGAACAGCCTCTGGTAGACGCCAGTCTGCAGCGCCATCAGCACATGGGGCACGCACGCGGCCTGCCACGATGGCCAGCCCTGCTCGCCCTCTTTCTGGATCCAGCAGCCTGCCAGCGACTGCATGAGCTGCTCAAGCCTTTTCCTCTCGAGCCACGCCACCTCTTGCTCGGGGTCCTGGTCAGCATCTCATTTGTTCTGTCGAAGCCTTGGGTGGAGCAGGCCAGCCTCATCGGCTTCGCTCACGAACTTCATCAGGTCGGGCCCCACTGGCTTGGTCAGCGTAACTGCCACCTGCGCGGCCGTCTGCATCAGGCTGTTGGCGTCGTGACTCTGATCGGGTCCTGCCATGGTCTCCATATCCTGGTCGCTCGGCTCGCCCTCCAGCTCTGGGGCTTCACTGTCTGGGATCGAGTCATCATCGTCCAAGTTCTCTGGTGACCACTCTCGGCTGGCCTCCGCTGTTCTCGGCAGCGGCCTGCGATCGCTGCTGGGGATGCTGTGCGCCAGGATGTTGTTCCTTCTGTTCTGGAAGGCGTCCATGTGCACTCTTGCTGCCTGCTGCCTTGTACCATACGGGAGGGTAAGCATCCTGGTCATGAGCCTCCGTCGAGTGCGGTGCGTGTTGCGCCAGACGTCTTCGCAGAAGTCCTTGATCTGCTGAAGCTCCTGCGCGGTGACGGCCCTGGTCTGCTCTTGCGTATCCGTTCTGCCACCCACATTGGTGATGGCCAGGAGGTACGGTACGCAGTGCTCCATCCAGTCGTCCATGTCGCCCCAGACCTCTTGGTCGACCATGTTCATCCACTGCTCCGCGTAGCCCTCCATGTGGTCCACGAGCCTCCAGCTGGCTTGGACGACCGAGTGCGGATGGCCGGGCGGCTGCTGTGGAGCTGGCTGCGGGCCCCCTGCCTCTGAGCTGCCCCCGTCCAGGTCGATCGCCTCGTAGTTACTCAGGCCGAGCTTGAAATCACCAGGCATGGTGATCTCGTTGAGACCCTCATCAGCTGGGTCTGCTGCTGGCTTAGCTCCTCTTGGCAGCTTGCCCCTCTGCATGTCCGCCAAGACCCGACGCCCTGCTGCTGTCGGGGGCTGACATGGCCTGGCCAGCTTCCTTGCCACTCCTGCCACGATCCTGCTCTTATGGTCCCCGAGGTAGCTGGTGCCGCCGCATTTCTCGCACCAGAGCCAGCCATGGGAGATCTGCGTCTTGTGGGAGAAGTGCACCACCTGCGTGCCGATCTGCACCGCCTTGAAGTCGAGCCTGACGTTGCCGTGCTGGTCCTGGTGGCCGCCGTACTTCCCGAGGCATTCTCCCGTCTCTGCCAGCCAGTCTCTGATGCTTTGTCCTTTGGCTGGGCCACTGCGACACGTTGCACACCACCATCGCGGATGTAGCTTGCGCAGGTCGTGTCCCAGCTGGGCTGCCCTGTCCCTCGCCGTCTGCGGCTTTCGGCGCTTGGCCTTGGGACGCTGAGGGGCCTTGTTGGGGTCCTCCACCGCCACCGCCATGTTGATTGCCAGCAGCCGGTTTTGCACCGCCGTGGTGAGCTGGTCCCTGATCTGCTGCTGCGCGATGATGGCTGGATCCAGTGCTCCATGCTCCGCTCCCCAGCCTGCGCACTTGTCTGCCATCTCGTTTCCTATGACCCACCAGGTGGGACCATTCCACCTCTCCAGCTCGGCTGGGTGCTCGATCAGGTGGCTT